GTATTAACGCCACCAAAAATAGAAACCTTTTAAGATATGTCAAATCCATGCGCTGATTACGATTAAGGAATGCGCAGAAGTGGAATTACTGGATGGGAAAATTACCGATAATTTTACACAGCTGGTTAAAGATGGTGATTTTTTKCTCGTCCGAACCAAACCGCATTTTGATGGTCAGATTGTAGCATGATCAACAATGAAATGCTAATTAGAACAAATGATCGCRKTAGTTCTAGAACATCTGTAAAGCAAATGAGATCGAATTGTAAATATCAACAAACGAACGATCGTAATGCATATAGTCGTTCGTGCTATTGGGAATTATATCACAAATCAATTCATAAAGGTTTTGATTATTTTTTTAGAGCATTCTATCTATTTCTAAAACATTTCGTCCATTTCCTTGCAAAAAGGAAAAAAAATCCGAGAAAAACCACGAAAACATGGCAGAAGATCTGAAGGAACATTAACGATGCATCATGAAATGGAATATTCATAAAACCATATCGAAGACATGATCGATGACATGATCGTTACATCGAATAGTTGAATACTTCAATATAAAGTAAAAATTCAAATATATATTCCCCAGTGATGAAATACAATTTCCGTATATGAACTAATATGCTTACTATGCCTGATTATTTGTTCTAGAACGTTTTAATTAAATCGGTTTTTGCCACGGCACTACTGAGGAGTCTTGACTTATTAATGATAAAAACTGGTTATGTGTTTCTTATCGTGGTTTTATACTGCCTTTAGTTATCCTGCTTAACCGGCTCTCTTTTGAAGCCTCAGGCTATGAAACAATAAGACTTTTCCTCCCCAGTCCCTCCCTATACTCCGCGTCCATCCAGCGTTCCAAAGGGGAAAGGCCAGCAATCACTTTCAWCAACGCAAATCCATTCAACTAACTGAAAAAATTTGGCTATTTGACGTGTCCTTTTTTTGATAAACTATGAAATAAGAAAAACTCTCATGATTTTTTTTTTGCGTGATTATCTGGGCCTTTAAAGTTCTAACTTGCAGTGAACAAAATGGCGTCAAAAAMTTAAATCACAACGGCGGCCTTTTTTACAGCAATCCTCGCACCTTTTTATGTTCGCTCAAGTGATCTTTAWTTCTTTACAAAAAAAATCGTTACAAATATAATACAAAAACAAATTTTGGGGATTGTTCTAGATTATTTCTGAAAAAAGAGTAAAACAAGCAAACATACAAAAACACCTCGAAACACTTAATTTTGAAGTATATTTCGAGWGGCCATTATCTCCCATCACCAGGTATAGTTATCAGTAAGGTCTCGCTACACGTGAATCTTACAATTTGACTCGTATAGTGGTATTCATAGATCCGTGAAACAAAGAGTATTAGCTATAGTGTTATCACCGAAAAGTTAGAGTGGTTTATAAAACTCAATGCATGAACTATCACTCCAATAAGGGCTTTCTGTTTGGTCCCTGTAAATCTGATATAACACTTCTGTTGTATCACGTTTTTACAACACGGTGGTCACCATTGAGACAACCCAACTATAGCATAGGTCTCAGTTTTAGTATCGCATCATAGACCTTCACTAGGTTTTGAAGCAATCAAAGACAGATAGCAGCCATCCCTTATCCAACAGATGGCTTGCTTTACATGTGGGATAAATTAAAAATGTTGTCTGTTGTAGTTGGTCTCACACTATGAATTCATTATTATTTTTTACTTACAAATACTTACTAAATRGTCATTTYCATGGCACGGTTAAAACAGCGTCTATTCATTATATAAATTCATGCCATACTTGGGACACTTGAGCTGTTTATGTTCGTGCAATAACAATTTTGAATAGACTTGGAAACCAATAGAGAGATTGAGGCGAGCAGGAAGGTATCCTTTTCCGCAGTTTGATTGTTTTCCSATAAATCTTACCACTCGCAATGCATCATGGTAAACTTCATATGAGAAACGAGTCAGCCAAATCACGTTCAAGAGATATCATAGGGGGGGTCAATCTATTGGTCTTCAGTGATTAGAACATGGCTCAATTTCAATGGCTAAGAGTAGTGTAATCATTCATACTGGCAAATTGCTTTCTATCAACAAAAAAAGTAATCCGTGTTGAGAACTTCAGTGAATTATGATAACAACAAAATATATACATTGCATACAGTAATATGAAGAAATTAGGATCTTTTTGACTCATATTCCAAGTATATGTAAAATAGAAATTATGGTATGTCATCGCCTTTTTCAGAAAGTATTAGTGATAGGCATCTCGAGAAAAAACATTTCTGTATATTGTTGTATCCAAACATAATGCATAATACCAACAAAGTGTATCACCGCGCGTTTTATTAATAGAACAAGCTCATCTGTCAAATCGGTTTAACTTTACAATGCATTATATATACTGACACCGTTTGGCATGCAGTTTATTATTGCATGCAGTATAAAGGCTTTAAGACCTGCACGGAATGCTGTATGTAATAGCTGCGTATGATATTACTGACAAGATGTTCAAGCCACAGAGCTTCAAGTTACTCACGATATGTTCAAAAATTCATTAAAAAACTTCCGCATCAGCTGATTGAATTGTCTAAAAAGCCTTAAGCAGAACAAACACCTTTTATGCTTTTTTCAACCTTTTCCTCTGCACATAAAGGTGAAATCTTTTGTTCATTCATAGTAATTGATTTAAGTAGCCTTATTTCTCATTTTTAGAAACCTTGGAACAATAAAAAAATGAATGTTCACACTGATTGAGGGAAGTCATGTGGTGATTCATTGATTTCGTTGCACAGGGTGATTAGATTTCTTTGTTTCTAATATTGAAAAAAATTCATAAAAGCTTATGTTAGCAAAAGAAAAAGGACAATACAGCAATGAAGGCCTTATATTGCAAGTAGAGTTGTGAGAGAATCCACTGCACTTTTTGATTGAGCGATATTTTTTACAAAGAAGAGCAAAAACTGACATGATATTATGCCTATCAAACAGGCTCTTAAATTGTGAAATCTAAACAGGCGGAACTGGGTTGATATTACGTCCTTTAATTGATAGCCAGCTTTCACACGTGAAACCCTTCCCTCGTGCAAACTAGTACAACTTGAAGGATGATTATTCATGTTTCGATTTTGATTTGTCATCTGCTTTGTCTGATATATTTGCAGGCAGGATGTTTTCTGATTGTCGCACCAAGATACGGATTTTATCTTCGTAAAAGATATAGTTGTGCAGGTCATAAGTACTGAGTAAAAAACACTCTCGAGAATATACTGAAAATATGATAAAATAGCAGAAAAAAACCCAAGTAAACCAATAAACCATGAAAACAAAAAAGGTTAAATTAGATCAAGAAAAATAAGTGCAACAACATTGAAAACATGCAAGTATCGATAACATGTCTTGTTACCTGTCTGGTTCATAGACAAGGACTTGATCACGTGGTTTTTTTTCTTCTCATCAATAGCCCGATGTTTGTTGTTATTGTTATACCGCAATTGATTACTGTAAATAATACCAAACCCGTGAAATACCAACACGTTTTCATCGACCATTTCATTTGTTTTTGATGTTTTTGATTCTTAAACACCGTGGATACGCACTTTGTTCAAGACAATTCTGATTATTTACACATCTTCGATATTAATCGAGACTAAAAAAGCGCTGTACCTATATTTCCCGGCAACACGACCATCAATACACAAACACTGCTTAATGATGTCGTAAGCGATGTTTTCTATCGCTTGTTTTCATTTTAAGCATTAGATAACTACGACCAGGGTGACTATTATTAAGTTGATTCATAGTGTCAATATGTCTAAACTGTTCGCTCTCAGAGGCACAAACACGGAAGAGATAATAGAGTCTAAAACAACTAAACAAATAACATGTTATAGAACGTCTATAAAATAGGATATAGAGACGCATGGCGTCTTCCAGTGAAAGATAACGGCTACCTCCATAAACCGCACGTGCTCTAAATAAAACGTGCTATTTCTCTACTTTAGATAAACAGGGCAACTCTAGGGATCTGCGACTTGAAGGGATTCTTATAGTACTGGAGCCATCAYATTCTATGTTTTTCTAAGTAGCAGTCTGGTGTTTTTAAGGTTATTTGTTAACTTAATAAACTCTATTAATTATTGTCATTTGATATTCTGTAAA